TTTCCTTAATTATGTTTCTCCCACGCAAGAGAACTGAGGGCTTCCAGATTGATACCAGAGGCACGTATCACGGCATGACCCTGAAGTCTGTAACAGAAGGGGCCCAAGCCAAGAAGACGCCACAGCCGGCACCGCAGCCAGTCCCGCAGCCAGCTCCCGTCCAGCCATCTTTGTCCAGACCAGTATCTCAGGCAAGACCGCCACCCAATCAGAAAAAAGGTCAGTGGGTTACTTCTGCTACATTAGCATCTTTTTCTCCTGCAGATGTTATGATTAATGATCTCTGTGCTATAATTAATGGCCAGTTTGTCATTAATGATCTGTGTTATAATTATTAGTCTCTGAGTTATGATTATTGGCCTGTATGTTATTATAATTAATGGTCTTTGTGCTAGAATGAACAAAATATGGTCTTTGTGTTATAATTAATTGTCTCTGTGTTTATAATCAAACAGAGATACTGAATCTCTGTGTCTGTGTAAGTCTCTGTCTTTGTCTCGCTCTCTCTCTCGCTCTCTCTTTCCCGCTATATCTATATCTTTTTGCCCCTCTGTGTTCCTCCCTCTCTGTATCTCTGTATGTAGCTTGCCGCTCTTCCTCCATATGTGTGCTTCTCTCTCCTTTCTGCTCAGTAGCACACTGTGTATGTATGGCTCTCTCTCTTTCTCTTTCTCTCTCTCTTTCTCTCTCTGTCTCTCTCTCTCTCTCTCTCTCTCAATTTATTAAAAAAATTAATTCTCGTAATGTATTTATTAAGTGGTTTTTGTGTTATAATGAATAACCCATGTCATAATTGATATGTGTCACAGTGGTGGTTTCAACAGAAAGTTACTAGGAAGCCTAGTTTTTAAAAATAGTGACAAGGGTTGACCATGAAGATGGCACAACATTGAGGGGACGAAGGGGTGGGGGGGAAGGGGTCCACAAGACCGGCAGTTTGGCAGTTTATTCTTAACTCATTCAGATTTCTGCAGAAAATTCCAATCACTCATGAGAGGGTCTACAGAAAATTCCAATCACTCATGAGAGGGTCTACAGAAAATACTCAGGCAGCCAAGATAAATGAGGGTTTCCCGTTAAAAAGTATCGCTTGATGTGGAGCAAATCATAAAGGTTTCCATGTGGGTTCTGGGGCCCCTTTTGGGGGAAACAAGAATAGACCCACTGCTTTCCCCAACAAGCATGTCCTTGAAAAAAAAAAAAAGACTTATTAGGGCAGAAGTAGAGAACAAGCAGAAGTTTCTGCTGGAGCTTACAGCCAGCCAGTGCTAAGAAGAAGAAGGATGTACCGGGAATGTTATAACTGTTTGAATTGGGAACGATGACATCGGTGTAGGGGGCAGGATATATCTCCAGATTAACATTATGAGATGATACAAAATCAGATGGAAGGGAGCAAGTAAGAACAATTGCTCAGTACCGGTCAAACAGTGCCATGCTGGAAATCATTGTGCCTTTCTAGTGAAGGAGTTTTAAGGAACCTGACCTAATGAAAATGCATCTGCAGCATTTCTAAATTTGACACTGATATCGACGTATCTGCTAGGATACTTTCCTGTCTTCTATTATTAACTGTTTCCTGCCAGGCTCTCGTACGCCAATCATCATCATACCTGCAGCAGCATCCTCTCTGATCACCATGCTGAACGCCAAGGACATTTTGCAGGACCTCAAGTAAGTCCTCAACTGTTTGCACATACTTCCAAGTATTTACTGGAAACTTGTAGATGTTTCATACTTGTATATGCGTGCGCCCACACACATTATATTTAACTCATCAAAAGTCAAGCGCCAGTTATTAAAAGCTTGGTTGAAACCATCATACAAATCTGATATAAATGTAATATTAGTATCAGTGAAAACTGCATTTATTGAAAAGGAAATTGACATGCCATGTAAAGGAATGGAAATGCATTCAAATGCGCTGAAGCTCTGAAGTGTGCCACCCACTTTTTCAAAAGCCCACACATTAGATATAGGACACAAGACATTTCAAAATTGGGCCTGACCAATGATGATCCCATGTTGCTAAAAAAAAAAAGAACATTCACCAGACAAGCTTGATGGGCTCACATGTTATCATCTTGAAGGACAGCATTCGCACCTATGACCTTCAGAACAGGCTGAACAGTTGGTCTCAAGATTTCGTTCTGATATCTTGGGCTGTTCATGTTGCGTTAGATGATAATGTAGATAGCTGTCCTGATGTGTCTGTCGAAGCCTCCCCAGGCAGTGACAAAACCCCTGCTATGACGATCCAACTCTTGGATGGTGTCATCAGTAATTCACTCTCCTGGTCTTGTCCAAACTCGAATCCTGCCATCATTGAATAGAACAGTAAAGCCAGATTCATCCGTGAAGAAGACTTGACACCTTTATTGCCTTACCCATTAGATGTGCATGCGACAACAAGAACTCAGGCTCTGTGATGAGTAGGAGTAAGAGCAATTCTGACTGCAACACATCCATGTGATGGTTATTTGTGATGTAAGGATTACCTGTGATGTGAGGGTTACCTGTGATGTGAGGGTTACCTAAGATGTGAGGCTTGCCTACGATGTATGGGTTATCTCTAATATTTGCAAAGTCATTTCATATTGTCTCTTCTAGTACCCCCATTAGTGATACTATGCTGCCACCAGTTAATAATAATAAATGTATGTAGCTCATTAATCATTGATTTGTGATTGTTGATGACACTTTGCTTCATTTCTCAGATTTGTGAGTACAGAGGAGAAGAAAGCCCAGGGTATGAAACGAGACAATGAGGTTCTCATCCACAGACGCAAGGAGGGTGGGCTGACAGTTCCGTACAGAATTATCGACAACCCTTCCAAGTTGACACCTGATGACTGGTAGGTGGCAGCACAGTGTCTGTATCATGTCAAGGATGTGTAGATTAGCTGTACATTGAAGGGAAATTGAACTGGCAGTTCAGTAGATGTAATGGGGGATATTTTCACCCAGTTTAGGATGGTTGGGGGGAAGGCCCAAAGCTGACCTAAAACACTGAGATAGTCCAGATACTTGGATTAAACGAGAATCTGGAGATAGGTGACTAACCACTGGTTATCACGGGGACCACGATGATGCGACCCAAGGTCGACACGTGAAAAGTAAAGGACCACCACGTGTTGTCACGTGAAACGAACCCGTGGTATAAGTCAGACTTGACTCTGGTCAAGTTTAGTTTGTGTCGACCTGTTGGAGTGAGAGGGCGTACGACTGAAAGTGAGAATGCCAACGTGAGAGTGATTGTGAAGAAAGGAGAGCCTGCCGACGAAGTGTGAAGCCGAGATCGACCATGCCAGTGTGTGAGATGCCCAGAACCTCAACGTGAATCCATGGGAGCCATCTTTGGTCAGTGAATGCTTGAAGAAGACTGTTCGTTGAAGGCTGCGTGAGTTTGGGTATGAGAGCTGTTCACTAGGACACCGACCGGACATTCTGTTTTGTAAGTGTAAATACGTCAATAAATTCATGTCTCATAAGCTCACATCGGTGTCGGCTTGTGCCAGTTGTGTAACGTGGAGCGTGTGAGAAGATCATCCACCACACACGCATGAACACTGCCTAGACAACATGAAGAAAAACACACCACTTATTACAGTAGAACTAACCAACAAAAACAAAACTAGAAATTTTACAAGCCTCAGACGCAAGTGGCCGAGTGGACATTGTCCCGGTTTCAGGGCCCCTGGGAGGGGGGGGGGTAGACCTATCGCCCAACTACAAACATTTCATAAAGGGTAGCTAATTAAGCTTTTCCTAAAATCAATTGTGTTGGATCAAATGGTGCCGATATTGCAGCCTAGCTGTAAAAAGCAATGCAAGTGCCATCCATGCTTTGAAGGACAAATCAGAAGAATAATGGGCATTCTGGTTAGAACGCTTTGATCAGCACACTGAAACAAAAAATTAAACTGGCAACTATATTTAAAAAAAAATCAAAAAAATAAGGGGTTTGAATGCTTAGCAAATATATTTTTGATCATCATCATCAATCAGCAGTTCCTGTACAGAACATGGCTGTAATCCAATTGTTCAGACTTGTACACTATCATAGCTAAGACATTTTCAGTGTCTTGTATTCAGCTTTATGCCTTGTTTACTGGAAACTGTACCATCGTTCAGCGTTTTTTTCTCTCTCTCTCTCTTTCTCTCTCTCTCTCTCTCTCTCTCTCTCTCTCTCTCTCTCTCTCTCTCTCTCTCTCTCTCTCTCTCTCTCTCCTTTCTCTCTCTCTCTCTCTCTCTCTCTCTCTCTCTCTCTCTCTCTCTCTCGCCTCTCTCTCTCCTCTCTCTCTCTCTCTCTCTCTCTCTCCTCTCTCTCTCTCTTCTCTCTCTCTCTCTCTCTCTCTCTCTCTCTCTCCTCTCTCTCTCTCTCTCTCTCTCTCTCTCTCTCGTCTCTCTCTCTCTCTCTCTCTCTCTCTCTCTCTCTCTCTCCCTCTCTCTCTCTCTCTCTCTCTCTCTCTCCTCTCTCTCTCTCTCTCTCTCTCTCCCTCTCTCTCTCTCTCTCTCTCTCTCTCTCTCTCTCTCTCTCTCTCTCTCTCTCTCCTCTCTCTCTCTCTCTCTCTCTCTCTCTCTCTCTCCTCTCTCTCTCTCTCTCTCTCTCTCTCTCTCTCTCTCTCTCTCTCTCCTCTCTCTCTCTCTCTCTCTCTCTCTCTCTGCTCATCTCTCTCTCTCTCTCTCTCTCTCTCTCTCTCTCTCTCTCTCTCTCTCTCTCTCTCTCTCTCTCTTCTCTCTCTCTCTCTCTCTCTCTCTCTCTCTCTCTCTCTCTCTCTCTCTCTCTCTCTCTCTCTCTCTCTCTCTCTCTCTCTCTCTCTCTCTCTCTCTCTCTCTCTCTCTCTCTCTCTCTCTCAACTATCTCCATTCCAATGACATTTAATGTAGCCATGATACTTCATCTTTTTTTCTTTCAGCTGGTGCTGTGCCGTAATATTTCTGATAGTGTTATATGAGTATGTGAGTGATAAGTCAGAGACAGCGTGGCGTATGGAGACAAGTCACAGACAGCATGGGTCTGTTCTGTCCTCTCTGTTATCTGTATGGAAGTAACAAGTAACAGACAGCATGGGTCTGTTCTGTCCTCTCTGTTATCTGTATGGAAGTAACAAGTAACAGACAGCACGGGTCTGTTCTGTCCTCTCTGTTATCTGTATGGAAGTAACAAGTAACAGACAGCATGAGTCTGTTCTGTCCTCTCTGTTATCTGTATGGAAGTAACAAGTAACAGACAGCATGGGTCTGTTCTGTCCTCTCTGTTATCTGTATGGAAGTAACAAGTAACAGACAGCGTGAGTCTGTTCTGTCCTCTCTGTTATCTGTATGGAAGTAACAAGTAACAGACAGCGTGGGTCTGTTCTGTCCGCTCTGTTATGTGTATGGAAGTAACAAGTAACAGACAGCGTGGGTCTGTTCTGTCCGCTCTGTTATCTGTATGGAAGTAACAAGTAACAGACAGCGTGAGTCTGTTCTGTCCTCTCTGTTATCTGTATGGAAGTAACAAGTAACAGACAGCGTGGGTCTGTTCTGTCCGCTCTGTTATCTGTATGGAAGTAACAAGTAACAGACAGCGTGAGTCTGTTCTGTCCTCTCTGTTATCTGTATGGAAGTAACAAGTAACAGACAGCGTGGGTCTGTTCTGTCCTCTCTGTTATCTGTATGGAAGTAACAAGTAACAGACAGCGTGGGTCTGTTCTGTCCTCTCTGTTATCTGTATGGGAGTAACAAGTAACAGACAGCGTGGGTCTGTTCTGTCCTCTCTGTTATCTGTATGGGAGTAACAAGTAACAGACAGCGTGGGTCTGTTCTGTCCTCTCTGTTATCTGTATGGGATTAACAAGTAACAGACAGCGTGGGTCTGTTCTGTCCTCTCTGTTATGTGTATGGAGGTGATAAGTCAGACATGGCGTGGGTCTGTTCTGTCCGCTCTGTTTTGTGTATGGAGGTGATAAGTCAGACATGGCGTGGGTCTGTTCTGTCCTCTGTTATATCTGTAGTCAGAGACACCATGGGTCTGTTCCTTCTTGTCTGCTTAGAAGATAGAGCTGTTTGTGGTTTCGCTGCATTTTGTGTTTGTCCTCACAGGGACAGAGTGGTTGCTGTGTTTGTCCAGGGTCCTGCCTGGCAGTTCAAAGGCTGGCCTTGGAATGGGAATCCAGTAGAGATATTTTCTAAGAGTAAGTAGAGCTTAGGTACACACAGGTGACCCCCAGAGGTACACACAGCTAACCCTCAGTAAGTGAACAGTGTGCACGTTGCTTGTCCATCACAAATGATAACCTTTCTTCCAGAAAAAAAAAGGTAAGTGATTGTGAGTACCAAGATGGCTTAGTCCATTGTGAGCCCGGAAATTTGTTGAGCTGTATGAACAACAGATGGAAGTGACAAAGAACAGTGTATATGGTATTATGTGATAACAGCATATACTGTACATTGAGGTGGAGGCAATCACTGCAGCTCTGAAGTGGATAGCAAAAAATAGTTACCAGATAAATGATAGTGACTGATTCTTTGTTTGTACAGGGGACAAATGTAGCCTGAGTGAATACAAGCATCAATACCTCACCAATACAGGGACTCACATGAACATACTATCCAGGTCGTGCAGAAGTGCAAGGAAATTAAAGAGCAGATTTTCTGGCTACATAAATGATAGCTACAGGAACTGTCTTACTAGATAAGAGAGACTTTGTGAGGACCATTTATGAACGAATGCTGATAGAAGAGACAAGGTTTGATGAAATAACATTTATCAGAATGTGTGAATGAGGAATAAGGGGTGGCCGTGGCAAGGACGCACGTGTGAGAAGGGCAAGGACGCATGTGTGAGAAGGGCAAGAACGCATGTGTGAGAGGAAGAGAACAATGAGTTTATAAACAGTTTGCTATGAGCACATTTAGCATCTACACCTGTAGACATTCACTGAGGGAGATGGAGCACTAGGGGGTTTGCCTGGTGTGTTATGATGTCGATTCTTAAATCTGTATGTTTTCATATGTTTAGTTTGTGACACTGACTGTGGGAGGTGGAATTGTTCAGTACATAGATCTAACTCAGCAAGACGATATGAATGAAGCTGTCTGTTTCTGCGCATTAAAGTTCTCGTTTGGGTTCCAGGGCCCATTTTAGAGAGAAAAAAGAATTGATCCCTGCCTCCCTAACAAGCATTTCATAACTGTCGACTATATAGCTTGTTTCCTTCGAAGTGGGAATATGCCTGAGAGGGCAGGAACCAACAGTCGGCATATAAATAAGCCAAATCTGTAAAGTGGATGTGCACGCAAAGCTCAATTTCTGTCCAGAACTTGATGAACAACCAGAAATTTCTGCCAGAGTTTACAGCTGGTGAGTGTGAAGAAGATACACTTTAAAGATAGTATAGTCCCACCCTCTCAAGTAAGCGATGTTCCGCAGATATGGACACTAAGATTGTTAGCAATATAAACAAGTGTGATGTGATTTTGGTCACAAGCGTGAGGGAAAGTTATGCTATTGTGTTGTGTATAAGGAGACACTCCATAGACACTCACTTCGGATGCCAGCAAGCTCTGTGCTGGTGTTACCGATGCTCCACAAAACTAACTGGGAAGGCTAACCTAGATAAAAAATGCTCCAAGAAGTCTGGTGTGTAGACTGAAAGGGGTAAATATTGCAAACAGGTACAGCAGATTTATATCTCTCAAACGATAAAGAAGAAATATTAACAAATAATATTTAAAGTCAAAAGTAATAAGTATTTACAAAGAAGTCACAGCTGTAATATCTCCATCACGTAAGCACATGCACACCACACACACACAATCACAGTATAAGGAGTATACAGTCATAGTGCGTTTGTCTGATGTGTGTTAAAATCCTCATCAAGATGGGGGTTTAAACAACTGTTGATCTGGACTTCCAGGTTAACCCAGCCTCAAGTGGGTTGTGAGAAACACGTGCTGATTGTCAGTACAAATATTCAACTGGCACCACATATCCAGCTCACCTCAAGGTCGGTAAAAAAGTCCCTTACTTGTTTAAGCTGAAAATCTTTATTCCACCAACACCTTCTGTAAAGGTCCCCTTTCCAAGCCTTCAAGGCAAATTGGGCAGTTATGGCCAGACCTGTATTGTATAGACCAGTAAGCACCTGGTCAGTATTGTGGTCAACCTCATGCCGGCTGCCTTTACCTCCCAGGATTGTACCTGATACCCATTTAAGGCTGGGTCGACCTGGGAGCCAAGGTCATTTTTGAAATTAAAATCCAGTTTTTTGAAGGGGGACTTAAACCCATGACCTTCCGATCGGCAGGTGCTGATATGGTGTTTCTGGTTGTAAACCTGACTAAACGTTGAGTTGTTGGAACCTCAAACATTGATGGTCAAGATCTGAAAATAATAACAATAATATACTAGCAACAAGAAGCGGCCATAAGAATCAAGTGGGGACTTTTCCAAATATTAAACAAGGGGTTAGACAGGGATGTGTACCATCACTCAGTATATTACATTTATACAGTGAAATAATGAGATCCATACATGGTATGCCAGCAATGTTCTGAGCAGTCTGCTATATGCTGACACTATAGTTTCCTTGTCTGGAAACACAGACAAATGTGTTGGGTTCCAGATAAAGGTTGCCAGTTTGGACATCTGTTGTTGGTAAATATAGAATAATAAGTTTTGTTTTTTCAGTCAAGGCGAATCACTTGTTATTTCAGTCAAGGCGTATCACTTGTTATTTCAGTCAAGGCGTATCACTTGTTATTTCAGTCAAGGCGTATCACTTGAAGTGGTGTGAACTGCCAGTTGACAGCAATGTCCAGAAGTGGTCAGTACACATCATGAACCTGGACAGACATCGCCGACACTTGGACAGGGCTGCCTTGCAGCAGTTTTGGGAGCACTTAGACAAGTAAGTCTTTCCTGCTTTCAAAAAGTACATCACTTGTAGACTGTTGGGACACAGATGGTGTCTGTAGATTGTCGAGACACAGATGGTGTCTATAGATTGTCAAGACACAGATGGTGTCTGTAGATTGTCAAGACACAGATGGTGTCTGTAGATTGTCAAGACACAGATGGTGTCTGTAGATTGTCAAAACACAGATGGTGTCTGTAGATTGTCAAGACACAGATGGTGTCTGTAGATTGTCAAGACACAGATGGTGTCTGTAGATTGTCAAGACACAGATGGTGTCTGTAGATTGTCAAGACACAGATTATGTCTGTAGATTGTCAAGACACAGATGATGTCTGTTGATTGTCAAGACACAGATGGTGTCTGTAGATTGTCAAGACACAGATGGTGTCTGTAGATTGTCAAGACTCAAGACATGGATATTTATAGTTTTTATTTATAAAATATCATGTCAGGTCTATTTATAAATAGTGCAGGGAATATCTGCAGATTGTTAAGACATGGGTTGTATTTATAGATTGTTATGGCAAGCATAGCGATACTCATTCATCTGATTTTTTCCCTTCTTATTTAACCACCAGTGGAGCAAAAGCCCCCAGCAAACTCAGGCCAAGTCATTCTATCCTTCGCTATCACATGCAGCTTTCACTAAGTCCTCCCTATCTTTTTTTAACTTTACTACTTAGCTCCCTTCTCTGTGTTTAAAAAAAATCTTTCTCAATTTCTAATTTTTCTCGTGTGTCCTATCCAGTGCCAGCGTCTTTTCTTTACCTCTTGCTCCACTGGAACTTGTTTAGTTCTCTCCCAACATTGGTCATTATATCATAACGTTGAATGCCCTCTGTTCTGCACGGGCACCAGTTAATGAATGTTTGTAGTTTATTAGTGATTGCCTCAATTGTTCTCCATGTTTCCATTCCATACAACATTATTCGTTTGACATTAGAATTAAATACTTTTAAGTTTAGTATTTTAATTTGTTTTGACAAATTGTTTCACAAATTCCCTAGTGGTATGAAAGCTCCTCTTGACCTTGGTAACTAATAATGATGATTTATTAAGATATCACTGAATGTCATTTGTGAGTGAAATTCAAAGTGGAAAATGTTTGACCTTCTAGGTACATGCTGAAAAACAAGCCCCAGCTGCGATATTGAACCTTCTGGCTGTCTATACCTGACTTCTACACAAGATAATTTTACCTGAGAGGTGTTAAATGATGATGTATTGCTTGCACATATTATATCTGGATGAGGTTCATACGTCCTGTTCATTTTCACAAATATTGTATATTTTACGATAGAATTTACCAAGATACCTGTTTATTGTTGTTGTCTATTACTTGGTATCAGACTAGGTTTTGTTTCTTAGGTAAAGTCAGTTTGTGTAATTCTGTGAAAATAAAGGTGAAAAAAAAAAACATACTCATGCATTCAACAAGATTGACTTCAGCGTCTGCTCAAAGGGTGGTTGGCACCACAGGCTGAGAGATAATTTGAGCAGACAGGACAGAAATTGTTTCTGACAAGCCGCCGCCGCCGCGATGGGAGCATTGTTTTACCGTGGACCTGGCGTATGGTGATGAATGAAACACAGGAGCAGTAACTTGTTTAACAAACCAAGGTTGTATTATTTCAGACCTACAGCTCTATTGTATTCTCATATCTGAAGAGGCATTTTGACTTGCTATGTGAAGACCTGTGATGTTTTTGACTCGTAAGAAGTGTATGTCCTGTATTATTTTTGACTTGCCTTGAAAAGAAATACGCATTTTTTTTTTTAAAACACTCGGGTTGCACTGTATGTCCATTACAACAAAAGACCCACACACAAAAGTGTCCCTCACTTATGAAAAAATATATTGTTTTTGTTTTTCTTTGCTTTCTGTGAGAAATATGTCTTGTTTTGTTTTTGACATGCTTTGAGAATTAAGTCCTGTGTTTTGTCTTTGCCTGAAAATTGCATGTTTTCAGTTTTATATAAGAGTGTCATGAGTAGATCAACAAAACAAAAGTGGAACTGGTGCGATTTACAAGAACACAGTCTAAATGACCAGCTGGATATTGCGGCTAGAAAAGCTTTATCAGCGCACATGCGCACCCACACACACACAGGACAGTGGTGCATATGCATTTAAAAAAAACCAATAAATTCAGTTAGCTCCTGCAGTGTAGTCTTGGAAACATCCAAGTCCTAAGGGATCATAAATCAGACTGCCCAAGCTTCTGTAGTGTAGTCTTAGAAACACCCAAGTCCTAAGGCACATAAATCAGACTGCCCAACATCCTTTGTTTTAATCAGAATTGTATGTCATTGTAGCTGTTGACTTGCCGTAAGAGTTGTCAGCACTTGTTTGTTGCTTGTGTGTGAGGCAAGTATATCTCTGACCTGTTTGTTGCTTGTGTGTGAGGCAAGTATATCTCTGACCTGTTTGTTGCTTGTGTGTGAGGCAAGTATATCTCTGACCTGTTTGTATATACTGATTTTCTTTGACTTGAATAATAAACATTACTTGTCAACAACATTGTTTAAGTTTATATGCTTATTATCCATCTCCCTCCACGCAGGTTATGTGGCTCCTTGCAGGGTGGGGGGATAGAATCACTGCCTCTTAACAATCATGTTATAGAAGACTGCTAATTAAGACTGAAATCGAACATGTAGGCTCCAGAAGCACAGATATCACAGCCAAGCTGCAAATGACAGCATAACATGCCAACTGTTCATTCAAAAGTGAACACAGAAGTATCCCTCTCTTCTTCTCTCACTGTCCTGGTAGGCAAGTACCCTAGCGCCTACACAGGAATCTGATTCAATGCTACAGTGGTTTAGAAAGAGCTGGAAGAGGGATGATCGGCACAAAAGGCATTAGTAACATCCATTTCTGCACACAAATACACAAAGCAGACAAACGGACAATATTGTTTGGCGAGTAGCGATGTGACGTCCGTTCTGCCTCAGATCTACTACATTGTCGTGATGTTATGGCCCGTATGAAATGAAAACTAGTGAGTTTGGTGACATTATTACTTCTGTAAGTAATTCGATCTCCACATATAGATGAGTGAAGATCAATCTCAACAAAGTAAACAAAACAAAAACGCAGTAACATTAAGATCCAATATGTAGCACTACCTCATATTGAGGAGTCACCATGGTGTAGCACCTAGACGCTCGCCTGCGGATCGGATTCACCATGGTGTAGCAGCTAGACCTGCGGATCGGATTCACCGTGGTGTAGCAGCTAGACCTGCGGATCGGATTCACCATGGTGTAGCAGCTAGACGCTCGCCTGCGGATCGGATTCACCATGGTGTAGCAACTAGACGATCACCTGCGGATCGGATTCACCATGGTGTAGCAACTAGACGATCACCTGCGGATCGGATTCACCATGGTGTAGCAACTAGACGATCACCTGCGGATCGGATTCACCGTGGTGTAGCAGCTAGACGCTCGCCTGCGGATCGGATTCACCATGGTGTAGCAACTAGACGATCACCTGCGGATCGGATTCACAGTGGTGTAGCAGCTAGACGATCGCCTGCGGATCGGATTCACCATGGTGTAGCAGCTAGACTCTCGCCTGCGGATCGGATTCACCGTGGTGTAGCAGCTAGACCTGCGGATCGGATTTACCATGGTGTAGCAACTAGACGCTCGCCTGCGGATCAGATTCACAGTGGTGTAGCAGCTAGATGCTCGCCTGCGGATCGGATTCACCATGGTGTAGCAACTAGACCTGCGGATCGGATTCACCATGGTGTAGCAACTAGACGCTCGCCTGCGGATCAGATTCACAGTGGTGTAGCAGCTAGATGCTCGCCTGCGGATCGGATTCACCATGGTGTAGCAACTAGACCTGCGGATCGGATTCACCATGGTGTAGCAACTAGACGCTCGCCTGCGGATCGGATTCACAGTGGTGTAGCAACTAGTCGCTCGCCTGCGGATCGGATTCACAGTGGTGTAGCAGCTAGACGCTCGCCTGCGGATCGGATTCACCATGGTGTAGCAGCTAGACGATCGCCTGCGGATCGGATTCACCATGGTGTAGCAGCTAGACGATCGCCTGCGGATCGGATTCACCATGGTGTAGCAACTAGACGATCGCCTGCGGATCAGATTCACCATGGTGTAGCAGCTAGACGCTCGCCTGCGGATCGGATTCACCATGATGTAGCAGCTAGACGCTCGCCTGCGGATCGGATTCACCATGGTGTAGCAGCTAGACGCTCGCCTGAGGATCGGATTCACCATGGTGTAGCAACTAGACGCTCGCCTGCGGATCGGATTCACAGTGATGTAGCAGCTAGACCTGCGGATCGGATTCACCATGGTGTAGCAACTAGAAGCTCGCCTGCGGATCGGATTCACAGTGGTGTAGCAGCTAGACGCTCGCCTGCAAATCGGCTTCACCATGGTGTAGCAACTAGACCTGCGGATCGGATTCACCATGGTGTAGCAACTAGACGCTCGCCTGCGGATCGGATTCACAGTGGTGTAGCAACTAGACGATCGCCTGCGGATCGGATTCACAGTGGTGTAGCAGCTAGACGATCGCCTGCGGATCGGATTCACCATGGTGTAGCAGCTAGACTCTCGCCTGCGGATCGGATTCACCATGGTGTAGCAGCTAGACCTGCGGATCGGATTCACCATGGTGTAGCAACTAGACGCTCGCCTGCGGATCGGATTCACAGTGGTGTAGCAGCTAGATGCTCGCCTGCGGATCGGATTCACCATGGTGTAGCAACTAGACCTGCGGATCGGATTCACCATGGTGTAGCAACTAGACGCTCGCCTGCGGATCGGATTCACAGTGGTGTAGCAACTAGTCGCTCGCCTGCGGATCGGATTCACAGTGGTGTAGCAGCTAAACGCTCGCCTGCGGATTGGATTCACCATGGTGTAGCAGCTAGACGATCGCCTGTGGATGGGATTCACCATGGTGTAGCAGCTAGACGATCGCCTGCGGATCGGATTCACCATGGTGTAGCAACTAGACGATCGCCTGCGGATCAGATTCACCATGGTGTAGCAGCTAGACGCTCACCTGCGGATCGGATTCACCATGATGTAGCAGCTAGACGCTCGCCTGCGGATCGGATTCACCATGGTGTAGCAGCTAGACGCTCGCCTGAGGATCGGATTCACCATGGTGTAGCAACTAGACGCTCGCCTGCGGATCGGATTTACAGTGGTGTAGCAGCTAGACCTGCGGATCGGATTCACAGTGGTGTAGCAGCTAGACGCTCGCCTGCAAATCGGCTTCACCATGGTGTAGCAACTAGACCTGCGGATCGGATTCACCATGGTGTAGCAACTAGACGCTCGCCTGCGGATCGGATTCACCATGGTGTAGCAGCTAGACCTGCGGATCGGATTCACCATGGTGTAGCAACTAGACGCTCGCCTGCGGATCGGATTCACAGTGGTGTAGCAGCTAGATGCTCGCCTGCGGATCGGATTCACCATGGTGTAGCAGCTAGACCTGCGGATCGGATTCACCATGGTGTAGCACCTAGACGATCACCTGCGGATCGGATTCACCATGGTGTAGCACCTAGACGATCACCTGCGGATCGGATTCACAGTGGTGTAGCAGCTAGACGATCACCTGCGGATCGGATTCACCATGGTGTAGCACCTAGACGCTTGCCTGCGGATCGGATTTACCGTGGTGTAGCAACTAGACGCTCGCCTGCGGATCGGATTCACCATGGTGTAGCAGCTAGACCTGCGGATCGGATTCACCATGGTGTAGCAACTAGACGCTCGCCTGCGGATCGGATTCACAGTGGTGTAGCAGCTAGATGCTCGCCTGCGGATCGGATTCACCATGGTGTAGCAGCTAGACCTGCGGATCGGATTCACCATGGTGTAGCACCTAGACGATCACCTGCGGATCGGATTCACAGTGGTGTAGCAGCTAGACGATCACCTGCGGATCGGATTCACCATGGTGTAGCACCTAGACGCTTGCCTGCGGATCGGATTTACCGTGGTGTAGCAGCTAGATGCTCGCCTGCGGATCGGATTTACCGTGGTGTAGCAGCTAGATGCTCGCCTGCGGATCGGATTTACCGTGGTGTAGCAGCTAGACGCTCGCCTGCGGATCGGAACATCGTGGTTCTGGTCATGACGGATCCGGACCTTTTTTAAATGGAAAAATGACCTTTGCTCCCAGGTCAACCCAGCCTTAAGTGGGTGCCAGGTGTAGTCCTGGGAAGTAAAACCGGCGTGATGCTGACCACATCACCCAACAAGTATCGATTGGTCTATAAAACATAGGTCTAGCCCTATATGCCTAATGGCGTGGAAAAGAGTTTCTTTTGCTTACCTTTTAATGCCGTTAGCATTCTTTGACATGTAATTTTGATTTGATTTTTTAATTTTCAGTAACAGCTAGACAGATTTTTATCACAGATAAGGAACCTCTTGGGTGTCGCCCTATCGCATTGGCTGGCATGCTTAGCTTGTCTTTCGGTATGGAAATGGTATCTTCGAATCCCCGTTAAGGCGGATTTGTAAAATCAAATTCCCAGTTCGACGCAACCTAAACTAAGACCAGGAAATGTTCTAGAAAATATAGGTAGTCGGCGCAATATTGACCTGATCCCGCATGCACAATACGCTTTAATAAACAGAAACAGCTATTTTACTATTTACAGGTGCCCTTTAAATTGGGGGGGGGGGGGTGTTGAATCCGATAAAACCATCGTCTGTTGCTCTGCTTAGGGGAACCAAAAAAAAAAATATACTATAATCGAGCCAAAAAACTTACTCAATGTGACATCGCCCATTCTATTTGTCCAGACAGTCCAGTTCGAAGCTGGATCGTCAACTGACTTCAGCTGGCTCATAACCTGAGTTCTGCTTCCATGGCGTCATGTAGTTCATGTGGGGTCACGCGTTCCCCGTGATACTGACACATTTCAGCCTGTCAGCCTCGTATTTTTTTAATCATTGGGGGTTTCCGTGGCCAAGTGGTCAAGGTGTTTGCCTCACCTTCAGAAGTCGGGGGTCGTTGTACGACTGCGTCCTTCTGTTGACGAGTACAATAGTTTTATGAAAATTCTTGAGGATCGTCGCCTGAGATCAAAAGTTTCTTACCATTTCTATCAGTCAGTATCCCCTTCCTTCTTCAGTTACACGCCCCGCCCCCATCCTTTAGTTAAAACTGCTCCTCCCCACCACGCCTTCCTTTCCTTTCTGTACCCCATTGTAGTCGATAGTCTTCTCTCATGCACTGGTCGAATGATGATGTACACGCTACTTATGTCAGATGATTTGATCTTATGTATCATATACAGTAGTACCTTGAGTCATGAACGCCTTTAGCTACTAATCAATTTTGAATGTTCGGCACACGAACGCACAAACATGGCTGGTCTTGGCGCCATGCTTGTGGCTGGCAAACAGTTTCATTTGTACTCACGGTTGTACGCTATGGTTTTTCTCTCTCTTTAAATTATCCTTTATTATGGCTTCCAAGAAAGTTAAAAATATTTTTTAAAGTGTTAGTGACATTGGTGTAAAGAAGCCTAATCGTATCACAGTAGAGACGAAGAAGGCAATAACTAAACCAGCCACCGAGCCAGCAGTCGAACGAAACACCAGACAGTTGCCCAAAGTTATTATGGAATACGGATCTCCTTTGAGTTCGCCGAAGGATTAGTCTTCCTTTTCCTCCTCCTCTACCATCTACCTGTGCCAGCAGCTATCAACCATAAGATAAAGTTGTACTTCGTTTGTTATACATATCTATATATATATATATATATATAATATAATATATATATATATATATATATATATATATATATATATATATATATTATATATATAATTGATCGCACATACAGACTTTAGGTCTCCCAATCTGAACAGGAAGTGCGCAAACTGCTACGGCCAGCACAGCACCAGGTACCTGGGGTGCCCTTATCTGCAACAATGCAGAGAAATAGCAACCACGGCCATACGGGAAAAGATTCCATACCATGAGGCCCGCAGAAGACACGAAGCAACCCAAGGCATAACTGCAGTTGGGAACATTACCACCAAATTGAGCAACGAGGTGGCTCAACTCAAAAGTGACATCCAAGCTCTCAGAGACGAGAAAGACGCATCCAAATCCCAACGAGATGAAGACAGAGATGAAATAACAGGCCTGAGAGCTATAATGCAGGCGACTCTTGACATTGTTCCAGAAACGGATGACAGCAGAGATGACGAAATTCAAGGAGGACATCATGAATGCACTGGCCACTATCCAGACACAAAAGGAACAACCAACTAAAGCAAGGGAAGACGAGGGCGGGGCATCAATGATCTGCGGGATAACCAACAACTTCTCGCGAAAGAAGTCGCAATGATCAAGAAGGCACTAGCTGAAACAGAGGAGAAGTTACGAAGAGCATACGAAGAAAACAACAGACTTTAATAAGGAACTGCAAGCAACCAACAGAGTGATGGAAGAAAGAGAGAAAGCACGGAAGGAGGCAACAAGAAGGCAGCAAATACAGGGAGCCGAGACCAGAAAAAGCCACATCAAACACCAGATAAAGAAAAACTCAAACGACGCTGATGAAACAGTTTCCGGTGGCAACTGCTGACCAAATAAACCATCGCATCATGGAGCTGGAGGACCCGAACTTCTTTAACTCAGAACTGCAAGATGATGATGTTCTTTGTTCATCACCCAGAGGAACCATATCGACAGCCAAAAACCTGGTCAAACGAGGTTCGACACCGTTACCCCAAACACTAATACCAGATACGACACAACCAAGGCCAAAATTACCGAAAACCTATGTAGGAGCAGTACTTTACAACAAGGATACGAGAAAATCACCAAATAATACCAAGACCTCACCAGTATTGTCATCAGTACCTGCCCAAGTCAATCGACCGCCGGTCCTTATTAGGATAGGCAATTTACTTTCCCCGGAAACAACAAACAGCCAAGGAATACCACAATAAATCGATTCAACATCCAATCATCTTGAGCGCAGCACAGGGCCAGCCAAATTACAAAAGCAACAGCAAGAGCGGAAACCACAACAAATAGAAAGCAACAATATTGAACACAATCCAAAATCAAATGAGATCGAGACCAGAAAACGTCACCACAAATATAGCTGAAAGGAAAGTGAGCAGAAATGTGAGCGGACCTAGCTGAAAGTGGTCAACGAAAGAGAATTTGAAAATTTGAATTGATCGCACATGAATCCATTTTAAAAAAGTCTACTTAGTGGCGAGCAATACTAAGCCATTTTATATGGCGCACATAATCTAGTCACAATTATAACCAACAGCGACCCCCCCCCTCGGGGATGCTGACTGAACGTGACGATTTTTGTATTTCGCAAAGCAAGCCAAACCAACTAATGGTACACGCGCAGCCCTTACAGGGCATGGACGACATTTCACCAGTGCGTTTTATTGTACGTTTGGCTTGAAATTGCCAGCTGGCATGTCTCGCTGGATGCGCCAGTGTTGGTCGAGAGTTGAGCGAGAGTGTTTATGCCAACAGTGGACTTGAGTTGTCGGAGATGGTGGGATCATTGAAACAGCACAATCTTCTACACACCTTTCACCTCACATAGTCAACATGGACTGGAAGTGTGTTTTTTTAAATTTTCTCCTATTTATACCTCACAATCGGATCTTTATTTTAGCGACAGTTGAAACTGAATCAGGTAAGGAGGGTCGTTTGTTGTTGGTTTATGTCGTCTGCTGGCGACAAGTGTTCGCCGCTTATGAGAATAATAAAAATGTGCTGACTGTTTATTGTTGTATGGCTTCCTCTTCTTCTTCTTTTTCTTCTTCTTCTTCTTCTTCTTCTTCTTCTTCTTCTTCTTCTTCTTCTTCTTCTTCTTCTTCTTCTTCTTCTTGATCTAGAGCAGATGTCGGCGATCATACCTCCCCAATCATGTCATTTACTGTAATGACACTAATGATGGTGCCCCAGCTGTTTAGTTAATCTATCCCCGCACTTCTTTCTCTGTTTTCCCTCGCTTCTCTTGTATAACAATTGCTCGCTTGCTATTATTTATTTGTCCCACATCTTTGGTTGATAACTGAGCAAAATGAACTTTTTCAATACTTTGAGACCAGTTAGGTATTATGATGCTAACTCCATACTTTAATAAACTAATCAGCAATCAGTGGGGTACCACACCGGCCGCCTTTACTTCCCATAAGATTTTCTGAATACATTTGGAGGATGGGTTGACTAGAATGCCAGTGTTTTTTTTTTGAAAAAAGAATCCATGTCTGCACACACATACACTACCAGTTCGACAGGCAAGCATGTTAGCCATTGCACCACCATGATTACCGCTTTTGCTTATAAGTTATCTGCCCACTAAAGCGCATTTATCTCTTTGGTTTGGATTTCTGTTTATTGAATGAGTGACCTTACATTTATAAACCTTTCAGCTTTTAGTATGCTGTTTCTGTTTTTCTTTGGTCTGGTGACAAGAGTTTTCCTTTGTGGCACCATCAGGTTTAAAGCTATTATCACAACTACCTTGACTTTCTCTGTCATTGTTCTCTTCCCCAGTTCATGTTTGTGATGGTCCTGGCTTATGATCCTCACCGTCAGATTTCTGAGTTACCTTTTTGGCTTCCACGATAAGTTTTTTGGAATAGTAATGTGGTAGTTTCCCCTTGCTATCCACATCGACATGCTTTAGAGGATGTCCTCAGCATCATTGTTAATTGAGTGGGCTGCTCTGTGGTACTCCTGCTAACATCAGAAGGCACCCCAGAGATATCCACTGATCGTGGTGGATACTTGGTCCCTATAGCTGCGTTACCCACACCGCAGTATTTTAACCATCTTTTACTGCGTGGAGGTAGTGCTCTTGCTCATCGAGCCTGGGTTAAATCCCTAACTGTTGCATTATTCTTTGTTTTTTTTACCAGTTTAGGTCTCATATTCACCTGGCTTCATACAGCAGAGTACTGAAACCCAACTCCCCTTCTTCTCTCAACCCCCCCCCCCCCTTTTCTACCCCAAGTAAAAAAATTAGGTGTAAAATGAGAAAGACATGAATAGACAGGCTTCCCATAATTAGTCTTTGAAAGTTTTCTGTTCTGGCAATAGTAGGCTGTTGTATTTTCCTCATTTTCCTCCATATGTATGCTGAAAGGATAAAGTTCCTTTGCCCAGCTACTTAGCTGAATGCATGGTGTGAACTGTGAATTTCATTTAGGTTGCTTTTGGACTGTGTTCATTGTATTTTGTATTGTCAACTGCACACACAGTGTATGGCAAGTGGCCTGCTGACAGAGAACATGATGCCTTATCTGAGTGATTGCTCTTTCCTTATCACTTAGAATATTTAAGTCCTAGCATTCCACACCATAACAGTCACATTCTAATTGTGGGGTTACTGTTGGTTTTGCCACACTCCAGCATCATATTCTAATTGTGGGGTTACTATTGGTTCTTCCACACTTCAGCAGCATATTCTAATTGTGGGGTTACTATTGGTTCTTCCACACTCCAGCATCATATTCTAATTGTGGGGTTACTATTGGTTCTGCCACACTCCAGCATCATATTCTAATTGTGGGGTTACTGTTGGTTCTGCCACACTCCAGTATCATATTCTAATTGTGGGGTTACTGTTGGTTCTACCACACTCTAGCATCATATTCTAATTGTGGGGTTACTGTTGGTTCTGCCACACTCTAGCATCATATTCTAATTGTGGGGTTACTGTTGGTTCTGCCACACTCCAGCATCATATTCTAATTGTGGGGTTACTGTTGGTTCTGCCACACTCTGGCATTATATTCTAATTGTGGGGTTAATGTTGGTTCTGCCACACTCTAGCATCATATTCTAATTGTGGGGTTACTGTTGGTTCTGCCACACTCCAGCATCATATTCTAATTGTGGGGTTACTGTTGGTTCTACCACACAACCTAACATCACATTCTAATTGTGAGGTTACTGTTGGTTCTACCACACAACCTAACATCATATTCTAATTGTGGGGTTACTGTTGGTTCTACCACACTCCAGTATCATATTCTTAATTGTGGGGTTACTGTTGGTTCTACCACACTCCAGCATCATATTCTAATTGTGGGGTTACTGTTGGTTCTGCCACACTCCAGCATCATATTCTAATTGTGGGGTTACTGTTTGGTTTTCTACCACACAACCTAACATCACGTTCTAATTGTGAGGTTACTGTTGGTTCTACCACACAACCTAACATCACGTTCTAATTGTGAGGTTACCATTGGTTCTAGCGCACAGTCTAACATCACGTTCTAATTGTGAGGTTACTGTTTGGTTCTACCACACACAGTCTAACATCACGTTTCTAATTGTGATTGGTTACCATTGGTTTACACACAACCTAACATCATTCTAATTGTGGGTTACTGTTGGTCTACGCACACTCAGCATCATATTCTGATCGTGGGGTTAGTGTTGGTTTTTACCACACAGTCCAACGTTTTTCATGTTTTCTAATTGTGAGGTTTACATGGTTCTACCACACAACTAACATCACGTTCTAATGTGAGGGTACTGTTGGTTCTACCACACAACCTAACATCACGTTCTAATTGTGAGGTTACCATTGGTTCTAGCGCACAGTCTAACATCACGTTCTAATTGTGAGGTTACCATTGGTTCTAGCACACAGTCTAACATCACGTTCTAATTGTGAGGTTACCATTGGTTCTAGCACACAGTCTAACATCACGTTCTAATTGTGAGGTTACCATTGGTTCTAGCGCACAGTCTAACATCACGTTCTAATTGTGAGGTTACCATCGGTTCTAGCGCACTGTCTAACATCACGTTCTAATTGTGAGGTTACCATCGGTTCTAGCGCACAGTAATGTTTCATAAAACTTTTCATGCTCAAACATGGCAGTCACTAATTTGGAGGTTACCATCGGTTCTAGCGATTGTCTAACATCACTGTCTTAATTGTGAGGTTTGTATTCAGCGCACTGTTTAAAAACTTGTTTGTGATATTGTACAATTTATGCATCATTTGTTGGACGAGTTCAAAGACAGAAACAGTCACTAAGATTTCAACACTCATAATAATTGTGAGGTTACCTGGTTTCTAGCGCACAGTCTAACATCACGATCTAATTGTGGTTCATTGTAAAAGGGTACTCCTGCATCTAACATCACGTTTAAGTAGCAGTTTCATCTACCAAAGAATGTAGCACACAACCTTAAGTCTTTTTTGTTAAGTCTTTCCTCTTTTAGTATAGGAGGTGGCTGGTACTTTACAGGTTTACAGTCTTTCTAACTCTTTCATCACTTCTAATTATGAGGTTACCATTGGTGCGCACAGCTACTTCACAGTGTTAAGTTCTTTCCTCTTTACTATAGGAGGTGGCGGTACGTTACAGTGTTAAGTCAGGTCCTCTTTTACTATAGGATTGGTGGCGGTAACTTCACAGTGTTCAAGTCTTTCCTGTGAGGTTACTATAGGAGTGTGAAACAGTACTTTACTAAGTCTCTTCCTCTTTTAACTATAAGAGGTGGCGGTACTTGAGTTACCATTGTATCAGTGTTAAGTCACGTTTCCTGATCCTTTTTACTATAGGAGGTAGGCGGTACTTTACGTGTTGAAGTCTTTCCTCTTTTACTATAGGAGGTGGCGGTACTTTACAGTGTTAAGTCTTTCCTCTTTTACTATAGGAGGTGGCGGTACTTCACAGTGTAAAGTCTTTCCTCTTTTCCTATAGGAGGTGGTGGTACTTCACAGTGTAAAGTCTTTCCTCTTTTACTATAGGAGGTGGTGGTACTTCACAGTGTAAAGTCTTTCCTCTTTTACTATAGGAGGTGGCAGTACTTTACAGTGTTAAGTCTTTCCTCTTTTACTATAGGAGGTGGCGGTACTTTACAGTGTTAAGTCTTTCCTCTTTTACTATAGGAGGTGGTGGTACTTCACAGTGTTAAGTCTTTCCTCTTTTACTATAGGAGGTGGTGGTACTTTACAGTGTTTAGTTTTTCCTCATGCAGACAGAAGTTTAGTGAGCTAAACATTTTTGTTTAATATTTCCTCTTTTGCTGTGGGGCTGTAGCGGTACTTTATTGTTAAGTCTTATTCTACAGTGGGGTGTATCAGCTCTTTGTTGTTTAGTGTTTCCTCTTCTATGGTGGGCTGTAAAGGTACTTTACAGTATTGTTTTAGTCTTGATTTCTCTACCCTGGGGTATAGCAGTACTTAACAGTGTTGTTTAGCCTTTCCTCTTTTAGCATGAGGTATCTATACTTTATAATGTTTAGTCTTTCCTCTTCCACACTGGAACGTAGTGGTGTAAACCTTCTTGTTTATCCTCTCTTTTTCTACCAAGAGATTAGCCGTACTTTGCATTTGTTTTTGTGTTTCCATTTGTATGGCGGTATGAAGCGGTACTTTACAGTGTTGTTGATTATTTCCGTTTCTACCTGAAGAGAAATAAAAAACTCTTGTTTAATATTTTATCTTCTTTTGTAGATGAAGGATATTTACGGTCTTGTTTAGTGTTTCCTTCTCTTCCCTGGGGTGTAGATATGACAGATAGTTCCTCTAAACAGGAAATGTCAGCGATGACCTTATCTACCCATGACTATAAAGTGTTCCTCCTAACAGTCAGTTGTGTTTATACCTTGGTCATTGACCTCTGAAACATGTAATTTGTTCATTCATCTCAGTTAATGTGG